CTGGAATGCTCATATGAGCCGTCTAGGGGCTGTCTAGGTTATCTTGGTGCTTTCTTCGGCCGTCTTGGGGGGCCTCTCGGACCATCTTGGGGTTTTCTTGAGCTGGTTTGGGGCGCCGTTAGCCGTCTAGGAGGTGTCTTGATGGCTCCTTTTGGCCATCTTGGGCCGTCGACCTCTAAGGCGTCATGGGTCCTTCAGACAACCCCTTTGGCAGCCTGGGGCTGTCATGTGGCCTTCCTATGTCGTCCATGAGCCTCCGTGGGTCGTCGTGAGGCCGTCTTGGAGAATCATTATCTTGCACAGCTGTGTTCTAAAGCTCGGACCTCTTTTTAAACGCTTCGCTCGTTCCGCCGGCTCTGGAGCCCTCTTTAGCGCCTCTTGGGGGCCTCTTGGGAGTCTCTTGGGGCTCCTTGGCGGCGTCTTGGGGGCCCCCACGGCCTCTTGGGGGGCTCTTGGGGACCTCTTGGGGCAGGAGGGGGGCTAGTCGATTGCGGCCCCCCCTCGTAGGCCACGATTCTCGTGAGTGGTGTCGAGAAATTGCCCGGTCCGGCATCTCTGACCCGACCCTGTCGGGACCTTCCCGGGACTTGCCCGGGGTACTTTTCACTGGGGGACCCCCAGGGGCCGCCCCGCGCGGGTGAACTAGAAATATTGTTAACTAATTACCGGAGATCTTAGCACGCCTGTGGCCCGTTAGGCTTGCGAATTTTCGTCGTCGTCCTCGTCGTCGTCGTCGCCGTTCGTCGTTCGTCCTCCCCCCCGGCCACGGAAGGAAACTCCTGGAGGAAGGAGGTGAAAGCTTCTTGTCCCTCGCAGCTCCTTGGTGCAAGAGCCAGGGCCCGCATGCCACTTGTTTCGGCACGGCACTGGTCGATGCAGCTCCTCGGCCCGCGCCTCACAGCGCGCCCCCTCCGCATCCATTTTCTAAAGCAGCCATGCCGAAGCAGCCCCCCGGCCCTCCGCATTCTTCCCCCGCCAGCCAGCGCAGACAGCCCGCCAGCCAGAGCGCCCCCTCGGCGCTGGCCCCACCAACCAGCGCACCCCCTCCGCCCCGACAGCTTGATTTTGGCACGGCGCCAGCCCTGCCAACCAACGCGCCCCCTCCGCCCCGACCGCTTTATTTAGGCACGGCACCTGGCCCCGGACCCAGCCTCCTCACCTGGCCCTGGCCCCAGCCCCCTTCGCCCCGAACCCTTTATCTTCGTGTCGTCGCCCCCCTGGTCCTGGCCCTCGACCCAGCCTTCACCCTGGTCCTCAACCCAGATCCCCTCGTCGTCGCTACCCTGGTCCTGTCCTTGGACCCAGCGTCCTCCCCTGGCACTGGCCCCAGCCCCCCTCTCCCTGGACCCTTCATATTCGCTTGTCGTCGTACCGTTGGCCTTGGCCCTGGACCCAGCCCCCCTCGTGGCGGGCCCTTTATTCTCGCTCGTCGTCGTCCCCCTGGTCCTGATTCTGGCCCTGGAGCCAGCCTCCCTCCCTGACTTGGCCCCAGCCGCCCTCGACCCCCTGGCCCTGGCACTGGACCCAGCCTACCCCCCTGGTCGTTGCCCCAGCTCCCCTCGCCCCGCTGGCCCTGTCCCTGGACCTAGCCTCCCCACTTGGCCCAGCCTCGAAAATCTACCGCGCCTCAGCTGCCAACAAAAACTCATTCGAGTAGGTCCCAATCGACAACCGCTGATTCAGCACAGGGGCGCCCTGGCCCCACCAGCCCCTCCTCCTCCTCCTCCTCCTCCTCCTCCTCCTCCTCCTCCTCCTCGATTCCTTGATCCCCACCCACACCATCCTCCTCCTCCTCCTACCTCCTCCTCCTGCACCTCGAACGCCACCCAAGAAATGCCCATTGCCTTCCGAAGAAAAATGAGGCAGCCGGGCATTAACAGTCGCAATGATGTTCACGAGTGGTGACAACATCAACGATTCGATCGACACCGCGGGGAGCGACGTGGGAGGGCAAAAACAAGAGAAGTGCAACAACGCACTCGGCACACAAATCTGGTTTGAAAGTAATATTGCTTGTGGAATGCCGTTCGATACGGCGGAATGGCTGGCTCGGGCAAAAGTGCCGAACGCGATCCGCGATGCCTCGCACGCGTCATCTCGCGCAGCCCCGACGAAGCCTGACAATCGGGCCGAGGGGGCATCGGCTGGAGATACAGCCCAAAGGTTAGCGGCGAAAGCGTTGACTCGACAACGCGGCCAACGTCTTCAAGGCGCAGTCTGGCCTCTCAATTTCGGGCCCCGCAGCGCGAGCGGCGCAGGCACGGCCATTCGCTGCCCGCGAAATATTTCGATTGATGACCCGCGCGAGGCCATCATGAACATCGACGAGATTGGGGCGTTTGACCACGCAAGTGGGAAAGTCTGATGTTCGAACAAAACATAGATGATCGATCGATGCGTGCATGATTGCACTCCGCCAGGAAACGGCACGGCATTCGGCCCAGATTTCTGCGGCGGGACGGCAAAGGACGAGCGCGCGACATCTTGCGGGGAGCGGAAGGGGAGAGGGCGACGCGCCCATGCCGGCGCTATTATGTCTGGCACCGCATGCTGCATTATGCTGGGCTCGGGACAGTCTAGATTTCGGCATATTTGCACGACGCGCACGCGGCGCGCGACCCCTGCGAGAGCACGCCGATATTCGATGATGTCACCGAACAACTCGTGCAAACGCGCTGCGTTGACGCCGACGCGGGGGGGCCGCCCGTCCGCGGCAACGCGGCCATTGCATGTCGACGGGCGCTCGACGCCGGGGCGCCAGACACCCGGCGATCCGACGAACCGCCGGAAGAGCGGGGAATGTGCGCGCTGCAAGTGGCGCGCTTGCAGCTGCTTTATTGCGCCGCGCCAGGCTCAAGCATATCCAGCGCGCGACGTTGCCCGAGCGCGCCCACCCGCTGGCCGAAGCCCGCGACGCAGCTATCTTATCAACCGCCCGATCTACATTCGCAATGCCATCAAGCACAGCTCGGGAAATAAGCTTGCATGGGGTACCACGCCGCAGTATAGCCCACGAAATAACCTTGCCATTGCGGATGCTTGGGACGGGGCGGCAGCGCGCGCTCCCCACGAGCACAGAGGCCCACTGGAGCTACTGGAGTAGCTCAGCAAATGCAAAACCAGAACCTCTCCAGCGGTTTCAAGAGCAGGAAATCAAAGATTGCGTCGACTCACCACGTTTCGCGCCGCGGAACCCTGCCGAACGCCGGCATGCCCACTGCGCCTACGAGGCGCCGAAAACGGAGCTCGGGCAAGCAGACTGCGCGACAGGGAGATCGCCCGTTGCGGGCCGCTTCGGCTTCGGGAACTCGACCGCCCGAACGAATCTCACGAGCTGCCCCTGGGAGAACACAAAAGCGGACGGCAGCGCCATGCGTCCGCGCCGATGGAACGTGCAACGCGCGCGCGGCCGCTGCGAGGTTTAGCGCTACCGGGGGCTCGGCGCAATGCCATTTGCATTGGAAAGGCCCGGGTGTAGTCTTGCATTGGCGAGGCCCTTTGCATGTCGAACTACAAAAAAACTTACTCTTGCAAACGATATACTACAATGCGCTGCGCGACGATGACTGGGCGCGGCACGCGCCGTCGATGGGCCGGGCCCGCGCGGACATGCCAGAGAGGCTGCGGCGACGGAAAGTTGCGCATTTCATTGCGCAGAAAGACAACAGCAGCATGGCGACAGATTGTCCAAGAAGCTGGAGGAAGCATCTCATATAGAAATGCGGAGAGCTGCTCGTGCGCGCTAACGTTCTGATACCACCCGAACACTGCGGTCGCCTTGATTCAGAGGCTCAGAGGCTCAATGTTCAACGAGGGCCCCCTCTGTTTGGCGACGATGCGATCGTCGACCCTGCTCCGCGAAACGGGCAAACCAGGTGCGGGACAAGCAATCGCAGGGGGTGCGATTACAACAAGCAGATAACCAGAACAACAGGGATGATCACAATGTCTGGGACTGGATCGCTGCTGCGCTTAGGGTCGGAAGCGTCGGGCCGACCGGGGGCCCAAAGCATGCAGATTGAAACAGATTTTACACGCGAGCGCCCCCGCGGCTTGCATAAGAGGATTTGGCGAGGCGCGATTTTAAGTTTTCGTTGCACCGGTGGTGGGGCCTTCTTGGGAAGCAGCCTGCAGTCGGCCGTTGCCCGGGCTGTTGCCGGGCGTGCCTGACCTTCCAAAAGTGCGGTTCGAACACACACACACACACACACACCACCTTTTATACGCCAAGAGGTCG